TATATATATATATATATACACGCCGTTGAGTTTAGATTAGTGAAAATTTACAAATTTGCACTGTTCGATTGTTGTCACTGTGTTAGAGAGAGTAAATGTCATGAATTTGACATTAAACATAATCCAAGTTGAAGTGTTACATCATTTTCAACCCCCTTTTGGGCATCTGCATTTGGTAGCAGGCCAAACTGACAAAGACCATGCAGAATAATGTAGTGTTTTAATTCCACAGCAGACAAAGTCATGTAGTTTCTGTAAGTAGGTCTATGGAGAAAAACATATCGGTATCGTTTATCGGCCAAATAAGTTTTAACATATCGGCATATCGGATATTGGCCAAAAATCCAATATTGTGCATCCCAATATTGTGCATCATGTCTTTCCCTATGAGCTCTGTTATTGCTCGAGTTATTTCCACGTGCCGTTTTGAATTATGTTCATACGGAGTAATAACGTCGAACAGTTCGGTCAGTGATCCCTGTCGGCTGGTACTTTGCTTACTTCAAGTTGAAGCACTGGTCGTTGACATTCTAGCCATGCATCTATCATAAATGGCTTTGTGGTGTATTTTTAAGTGTTGATAAAGATTTGTGGTGTTACCTCGAGAGGTAGAAACAGCAGCAAGGCACGTTCTGCACAATGCATGTCTTCTTTGTCATAGCCAAAATAATTCCAAACAACGGACGTGCTGCCGCTCTTTGGTACCAAACGTCCAGATGTGTCCGCTTCTGTCGAGCCTGACTCCTCTGTGCAACCGGTTAAAGCGATTTGACTGGTCAGATCACTGACCAGTCAAATCGCAGCGTTTGTGTTTAGAAAATCTCGTTTTATCGTATCGCGATATTATCGCAAACGCAATTAATTGTTACGCTCACCTCCAAATGATCATTCAATTTAAAAAAGTTTATTAAAAAAAGAATCTCCAACTCGCTTCATGAACGTCCCACGTTTGATCCCGTGCGTCAACTGGCCGAGCCTCGTCTTGTTTTTCGACAGATCCTTCTAACGACACGAGACCCCATCAGTTGCAGCTGTTTTTCCTGATATTAAAATGTTTGCTTGTGACTTTTAACACGACTGATTTGATACATCGATGATTGAATAACAGGATTAGTTTTTTTTCAGCTTCACTGTTTAAATCGCCCGTGGGAGAAATGTTCTGGTCCAATCTCTGAATATGTTTTTCTTTGCTCTTCTTTCAGGAGATCATTTGCCAGAAGAACACTGTAAGTACACAAAACATTTTCTCCTCGCCTTTGCCTTCTTCACACGTTTCTCACCCGTTGCTCACACATCTCACATGATCTGCTGCAGAAAATATGCTGGCTTTCTTTCCCGTCAGGGAGCTGAGGGTCTAATGCTTCGTGTTTGTCTTCACAGTGTTGGAGGAGGTTTTCACTGTGAGCATGTGACAGATGATGAATGCAAAACAAAACTTCTTTCACTTGCAGCGTGTTTCTCATGAGCTGCAGCTGCAGAAAGGATGCACGAGCTCTTTGTAGAGAATTTGACTTGCAAAAACTGGAACATTCAAATAAGGGGCTGCCCTGAAACTGAGGAAATCCTGTTTATAACTGACAGATTGGACTGAAGCAACTATTAAAATCAATACTCATACACAGAATCCAATCCTAAACTCGGTTTTTGGCTCTTTTAACACATTTTCACTCTGTTTAGTTGTGTATCTGTGCACCAGCTGGTTATTTTGTGCAGAATATTGCAGTATTTATTTTTTTACATCTACTTCACGTTTAGGACAGGATTTATATGTGAATGCAAAAATATAAGAACATTAACACAGATAGCGTAAAAATAAGATCCAAGACAAAACATAGGATGTTTTGCCATATCAGTCTTTGTGCATCTGTCTATTATACAAGTAGTAGTTTATTTTAGTATATATATATATATATATATATATATATATATATATATATATATATGTGTGTGTGTATATATATATGAAGGTATTTTAAATCCTTCCCACACTCTAGCAATATTCTAAACAATGTTTCTAAACGCTCTAAAAGAGCACAGCATGTCATGATTTCAGCTCCCCGTCTCTGCTGCTTTCAGCCACCTGCAAGTGCTCTTGGCCACGCCCACTTCTCCACTCTGCACAGAGAGCAGCTGATCAGCTGCAGCAGGAAGTTTATCCTGCAGTATGGGCTGCGCAAAGGTGCAGCAGGTGCTAAATAATTTAAAATAATTAGTTGTAAATAAAAATTCCGTGCCGATCGTGCGGCTCATCCATCAAACAGCCATTTGTGTGTCACGTCCAGTCTTATTTTGAAAAACCGCGCTAGAGCGAGGCCACGATAAACGAACCGGGAAGTAGCGAGGAACTACTGTATATCTACAACTGATTACATTTAGCTTGTCAAAATGACAGTCACGGCTAATCAAACTCCGCAAACTAAAAAAAAAAAAGGCTATAACTCCATCAAAATGACAGATAATGAGATTAAATCTGGTGTGGCGGTAGTTGAGAGTTATCACCAACACATGTTTTGAGTGCTAACTGATTGAGCAAGTTATTCGCCTCAAACTTTGGCTTTAACTGTGTGAGTTCATCGTGTTTGTCTGTTAGCAAAACACCTCTTGAACCACCATTTTATTGAACCTCAGAAAGGATGAACCGCAGGCCTGCAGCCGTCTTAGATTTTAGACAAAGTAATTTCTCAGTTTTTCAGGGCATTTACCGTATTTTTCAGATTATAAGGCGCATTAAGCGAAACAAAACCGACAAGTCGAACTTTATTCAACTCGTTCACAATAACCACATAAAATGGGTTCGAGGTCGGTAAGCACAACCAGAGTTAATACATAAGGTGCACCTGATTTATATATTTTTCCAAAATGAATGACCATCTGTTAAAAGGTAAAAAGAGTTCAGTTTAAATGATTTTAAATAAAAAAGGACACGAGTTTCCTGTTTTGTTCACTCTGCTGAATACCTAAAGCTGACAGTAACACGTTTAGCTTCATCAATATTTTAAGTTTAGGCACAATATTTGGAATACGTGCAGTCAGGATATTACTTGTGAGGACGTTGATAACATCTTGCATCTTGACCTCCATCGTCTGAAGCAGCTGTGGACGTTCACGACCGCAGGGATCTGATTATCCATTAGATCCCCAGCATTCAGTTTGTGCTGTGATTTAATGCAACCCTTTCATGTCATCTACATTAATTTTATGATGTTAAATGTTCAACTTATTGTAGTCCTGAAATCTTACAGACTGATGTTCAGGAGTCGGATGAAAGGTTTCGCTCTTCTTGGTGTTTGTCTCTCCCCTGAATGCAACACGCTGTTCTGTGTGACGAGAGCTGATTATCACTCCGAGTGTGAACTCACAGACACCACTTGTATGCACTCACTGGTGTTTATTAAGAGACCTAAAGGTGCTGTGTGTTCATAAAAAACATAAATCTGAAGCTAAAATTCTCCCCGTTGAAATGTTTCCCCATCAAACCTCCAGAATATATAAAAGTCGACGTTTATTTTTAGAGGGAGCCATGCTCACCACGATGCCTTCAGGTGTGCAGCTCTGTGGGCTGACGGATTTATTTTCTGCAGTGAGAACCAGGACAACCACAAACCAGGCGTGGGAATTACCGTAAAGGCTAGAAAAGTTGCACCCACGGAAAATAATATTGTTAAATGGCGGAAAAACTGCACCAATTTTAGAAGGTTTTGTAAATGCAAGAAGAGCTGCGCTGCTCAAGTTGTTTTTTTTAAATACAGAAAAATGTGAGCAAGTATTTATGTAATTAATTTACTCTACTGACATTTATAATATAAGGCCTCCTAATTTATATTTTGTGCTTCTGAAAATACCTGTAAAATGCACGAAACAGCCAGTCATGAAACGGCTGAATCAATTTTAACAAAGGTAACAATAAAATCCTCGTCCTTTTCCTCTGCTGGTGAACTTCAGTTTTATCCAGACTCCCATAAATCAAAATTAAATTGAGCGAAGCTGCAAATAAACAAGGACCACCAGCTGTAACCGACAGCCCTGTTTCTGGGTCACACCTGTAACACCTTCCACACTGGAATATCTTTATAACTATAATAGATTCAGACACAACAGTTCACACCATAAACCACTATAATCCCAGTTTAATTAAGAACTCTGTCTTGAAAAGCAGCGGGCGAAATGCATTTATTCAAGGAACGTTAGAAATTTAATGATCTGCTTTAAAAACCTTCACAGTAGCAGGTGCGCCTGAATGCTCTCTACTTTTGGTACAACGTGTGTGACTGTCTTTAATAAATGCGTATTTAGCTGCCTTTGATGATCATTTAAATCCAGATTATTGGCCTTTAACTGTGTGGATTAAATTTATTCTCATTAACCTTTTTTTATTAGCATCAAAGTTCATGCTCAATAATCCAGGTACAAAATCCAACAAAGTTAAATCAGGTTCTCTGGACGGCTTCTTTGTGTTGAAACGTTTTGTCCTTCATCCAAAGGACTTCATCAGTCCGAGGATCCACAATAAACTCAGTCCCACAAGAGGCAAACTCTCATAGTAGGTCAACTAGTTTGATGGTAATGTGATGGTTTCTGGGGCCCGCCCTCTCCCCCGTCGACTCCTCTGAGGCAGCCATAGCCAGTTTGTTGTGACTCCTCGGACTGACGAAGTCCTTTGAATGAAGAACGAAACATTTCAACAAAAAAAAAAAAAAAGGGTCCAGAGAACCAGACTTAACTTTGCTGGATTTTTTTTTATGGGGATTATTGAGCATGAAATGTAATTGTAAGTCACATTCACTGGATTCCTCACGAGACAAATAACCTTACTGGTGTTGGACCTGAGCTGGTCCTGCAGACGACGTGTTCAGGTTGGCATCGGATCACCTGCAGCCGCCATGAAAAATGCAGGAGCTTCTGAAAGCCAACTGCCACGAGCCTCATGTGACGGCATGAATCACGCAGAGACAGAGGAGCTAAATATAGCGGCAGCATTTTGCGATCTGCTGCAGCTAACGGAACCAGAAGTTGAGGGTTTGGTTCTTGAAACCTTTCTACGCAGCCGGTGCAACAACAGGTGACGTCACAGTCCCCCCGCTGCACAGGAGGAAGTTATCTACAGGCAGCTTTCACTGCTTCACGGCTTCTCTTTCACTTCCTTTTGCTTCAGTTGGCTGTGAAAGCAGCAGCTGCGGTGCCGTCGTTCGTCTGTGAGGCGGAAAACCTGATAGATTATACAAACCAGTCTGCAGCAGCTTCCTGCTCAACTACATTTACATGTTGACCTTATTTATTTTAAATGTTTTGTTTATATCTTGGGGATATTTTAGCGGTCCATAAACGCCACGCCTGTTCCGTCTTTCTTTAATTAGCAGCAGCGGGAACCTCACGACCACTGCTGGAGGTTTATACAACGTTGACACAAACCGAAAACAGAAGCACTAGAATTAGATCTGGAAAAGAACGGTTTGCTACGGTGGCCCTGAGGTGTAAATGAACAACATTTGAAAAAACAGAATTACATTTGAAAAAACAGAATTACATTTGAAAAAACAGAATTACATTAGAAAAAGCGCAACAAAAACACAACATTTGGAAAAAGACATTACATTAAGCCAAAGAGGAAGTGGCCGGAATCACATTTGGGGGGGGGAAAAGGAATTTACATTTAAAAAAAAAAAAAACGGAATTAAATTTGAAAAAACGGAATTACATTAGAAAAAACGAAATTACATTAGAAAACCAGAATTACATTAGAAAAAAACAGAAAAATTCAAAAATTATAATTTCTGTTTTTTCTAATGTGATTACGTTTTTTTTTTTTTTTTTTTTTTTTGTGATTCCATTTTTTCTAATGCAATTCCGTTTTTCCAATGTGATTTCGTATTTTTTAATGTAATTCAATTTTTTTTCTGTGATTCCGGTTTTTCAAATGTAATTGCGGTTTTTCTAATGTGATTCTGGTTTTTCTAATGTGATTTTTTTTTTATTTATTTTTTTTTTTTTTTATGTTATTCCGTTTTTTGTAATGTACTTCCAGTTTGGCTTAATGTAATTCTGTTTTTGTTGTTGTTGTTGTTGTTGTTTTTTGTTCTGTTTTTTCAAATATTGTTTTGTTTTGGTTGTGTTTTTTCAAATGTAATTCTGTTTTTTCAAATGTTGTTCATTTACGCCTTAGGGCCACCATAGTTTTCTGCAACTGCAGCTAAAACCAACCCAAATTCCTCCTGGAGGGGAGAACAGAGTGGAGGTTCGCTCCAGGCGAGCAGCCAAACGTTCGGCTTCTCCTCGATGTTTCGTGTGCACCCGGCTGGATGAACATGCAGAGCGGTCTGTGTGTAAGAGCATCTTGGAACGAGGCTCTCCCAGCTGCAGCTTGTTGAGGTTAAAACCACAGAAACACGGTTGTTTCTGCACAAATGTGTTGGATATAATCGTGTAAAGTTACTGTAAAACAAACAAATCGCTCAGACTTCCTCCGTCCGCTTCCCTGCTGACTGCGATAAAAGGTTTCACTGGAAATAGCTTTTTGCGTAACCATTAAGTAACTTTATTCTGGTTTATCAGAGCACACATTCTTCTTCAGACATAAAATAAGTTTTCATAGAAACGTGTTTTTATCAGTGTGTGCGTTTTATTTTGTGTAATATCAAATAAAAGCACAGAACTAAGGCATGGACCAAAACGTTTTTTTTTTTTTTCAGCCTTTATTTATACAGGTTAGTCTCATTGAGCCACGGGAACTCGATTACAAGAGAGACCTGTAAAAAGTAGAAATTTCCACAAACAAAACAACAGCTGAATAATAGCTAAAAAAAAAGAAAGAAGCATAAATTACCAGAAGGAAGTTGAGAGACCACAATTGTGAACATTTAGGCTGAAAGAAGCAGAAATGAGCACAGAAAAGTGGAAATTATCTAAATAAAGCAGAAATTAGCAGAAAACGGCTGAAAAGTAGCTAAAAATAGCAGAAAGAACCTTAAATTACCAGAAGCAAGTGGAGAGAGCACATTTTTGCTGAATTAGGTTGAAAAAAGTTGAAATGAATGCAAATATTTTGGAATTGGCTGAGAAAGCTCAAAGTAGCATAAAAACAGTTGAATTGTAGCTGAAATAATTTAAACTTGCAGAAATAAGCTGAAAGGAGCACAACAAGCAGAAATTAGCAGAAACAAGTCGGACGCACAGAAATGTTGTAATTAGCAGAAAGGAGCACAAAACAGCTGAAATTAGCTGAATTTTTATTTTATTTTGCACAAAGAAGCTGAAGCAGAACAAAATGTGAACGGAGCAGTAAAAGGTTGCAAACTGATCTAAAGGTTTGAAGGATGTAAAATGAGCTTAATTAATTTTCTATGAGGGGGAAAAAATGGCAGAAAAGGCTAAATATTTCAAAAAGCTAAAGTTGCACCAATACCAAAAGTCATAGCAGGATTGTCCTGAAAGAGCTGAACGTTTTGATTAATGATTTGTTGAAATGGCCCAAAAATTGTGGAACGAGGAAAACGTACGGAACAACAATGTACAGAGTGAATGCTTCATAAACATTTACACTTTTAGACACTTAAAACAGCTAAAATACTCGTTGGTCGCTTGTTTTCAAACATTTCAGTGAAACTGAAACGGAAAGTTTGTCTATTTTCTCACAATTTTGCGTCATCACTCTGTGAGACGCTACCCATTAATGTGTGATTTTATTGTTTTTATTAATTCAATTCATTTTATTTATAAAGCACCAAATCGCAACCAAGTTGTCTCAGGGCACTTTACAGGAACATTCACACGCATAGAAAAGCCAGTTAGTAAAAGTTCTCTATCTAAGACGCGTTGAATCTTCACTTCATCTCTGTCTCCCATCCTCCAGTCCCATCCATGAAGTGGATAAAATAATTAAATTGTTGACGGTTTATTCAAATTCAACCGTGGGTCCTACAGAGTTCAACAAGCAGCATTTTCTGTTCCCAAAACTACGTTTTGTGTTTCGTTTTAATGTACGAGGCAACGCCGAGTTTAATCTTAAACAGAAAGTAAAGAAATAAATGCATGTTATAAGTGCTGTTTTCTGTGTGTTCCCACCTTTAAGTTCCCGGGCGATGCCCCCCCAGTGTCTCATCGGACAACTGTTAACGTCCGTAACGTTTCTTTGTTTCGTCCACAGACGAGCTCGGCGAACTACACCTTCATCCCGTACATGGTGACGCCCCACAACAAGGCGTACAGCTGCGAGGGCAGCCTGATGAAGGGTCTGACCGAGCTGATGCAGCCCAGCTTCGAGATGCTGCTGGGGCCCATCTGCATGCCGCTGCTGGACCGCTTCGTCCAGCTTCTCAAAGTGTCCCAGGCCAACTCGCAGTGAGTGCACCGCCGAAAGCCTGCGTGTCTTTCTGACGTCTTCCAATGGAAGCATTTGTTTTATTTATTAGCTTATAGCTAAGAAGGGATGTTGATTATGTTTATGGTTCTGGTAAGAAAGGAAGAAGTAATTACGTTTAGTTTGACTGTATGATGTCAGAAATAGATTCAAGTTCCTAAGAAGAATTAAAGTGGCAAACGGCGCCAGCTGCCATGGATGGACGTGGTGTAAAGACACAGCAAACTATGAAAACAAATAGAAACAGATCGTCCTGAACTACATTAAATGCTGCAATTTTAAGGAGTTTAACCCATTAGTTTTTCTGATGTATTCATTTTGTCAATCTGAAACGCGGGTCCACACTCAATGTAAACAAAACACTTTTATCTGCACTTCACTCATCTGAGCGTTAAAACCAACTGATGCATCTAAACTATTAGACGTCATCCCAAACGGCTCCAACATGACAACACCTTTGTTCACCTGTTCTCAGAATCAGAATCAGTCTTTATTGTCATTGCAACGAAATTACATTTTCGTGCAGCCCGTCCAAACGACATACATGGGAAGACGGGGGTGCCTGAGGCTGCAGCCTCATGAGAGGTGCTGCCTTTTTTCGTTAGACAAGAAAAAGGCAACACGAGGGAAAGGAGAGGTCAAAAAATTAAATAAAATCATATAATTTGAGGTTTCAAAAAACCTCAGCATAACAAAAGCAACATACAGATGACACAGTGAGGGAGGTCATGGAGTGCACAATTCAGCACATCTGAACTCCAGTTGTTTACATCCTCAGCTCTCGCTGAATTGCTTTGAAATTATTTGTTTTATTTCTAAGCTTTAACATCTAAGATCCTGAAATTGTACTAATTGAGAAAGTTTATTGTTGACAGTAAGCAGCTTATAGAACATTTCATGTTTGCTTTTGCGTGGACTAGTTTAATTCACGTTGCACTGCACTTATACAAATTTACATTTTATGATGCGCTGATGAAACAAATAGACATTTAGACCAACATTTATCCAGTTTTCAATCATAAATTAATTCAGAAATCCAGCTTTTGTTCATGGTTAAAGTTGATTACATACAGGTAAATGTATGTGATGTTTCCTTTAAGTGTTTGAGGAAACACTTTGAAAATTCAAGTTTGGAGAAAAAGAAGCTGAAGAGATCTATTCAGCAAACACTAACACGGAGTTCCTCCCACAGCAATCCAACATCACTGGTTTAAACGATTAGTGCATGTTTGAGTGGAAAAGTTATTTCCTTATATCTTTAAACAATATTTTAGTTGTGGTTTAACAGGTAATTTTACAGTTTCATGCAAAATATTGTACGAACTGGATGATAAGGCAGGTTTTAGGATGACAACGAGGTCATTAAGAGGGGTAGATGAGTCTGCAGCACGCTGAAGCAGTAATTCGGTGTTCATTCTGTTCAGCGCCTTTGATTTATTATCCAACCCTTCCTGTTTTTACTTTCTGTAATGATTTTTGCATGCATCCTTTACCTTTTGACTAGCGTGGCGAGCTATTCTTTTAAAAAGCCATTTGCAGCATCTTTGTTGCTGGGGTAATGTCTTCACGCTCTCCTGTCAGCAGTTGCTGCAGCAGCCTGTTAGTTCCCTGCCAGAAATAGTGACTCAGGCAGAGATGAGAAACGTGTAATTCACTGAAGGTTGTTTCTTGTGGAAACCAACATGCATAAAGTAAACGCAGCGTAGCACTTCAGGCATTATTTGACCTAAATCTCTTATTTTCCTGCCTGACAAAAAGGCCGCTATTTGTACAATTTTATTAGTAACAAAATATTAAGTGCATGAATGAGTCACTCCTCTGGTTTCAAAGGTAAATTAAGCTGAGGATCAGTGGCATAGAAATGAACATTTATGCACTGATATCTAATAATATTACCTTTTGGAGGCCAATCTCCAAAATAAAAGCAGAGGTTCAAGCTCCAATCCCTGTGGATCTCCATTGGTAACAGTGATTCATGTTTATTCACTATTTACAAAAAACAACTGGAAATTTTCTGATACATTTAACATGAACAAGCCTAATTCATTTAACCTTTTATAACAAAACAGCATGACTGGTTGTATTAAGTGTAGCACAGAGACTGAGCTGTACCACAGACACAAGTGAGAATGTTAAAACAACTACTGAAATGAGTTTACATGACCCGACCAAATGTTTTCTCACAATAATAACATGATAAATACACTGAACTTGAAATCAACAAGACGGAACCATCAAAATTAGACTTTAAGACAGTTTAAAACAATAATCTTATGTAAAAAAAATTACTGTTTTTTTTCACTTGACTTTGGGTCAAAAATGTTGTCAGACAGTAACTGAACTAAACATTCATTAGTTAAGCTGAGAATGCACTGATGCATGTGGTGACAAAATAAATTCCTCTTTATTTGTCTACTTAACTCTAAAAAGTCAGTTTGCTTAATTTATATTTTTATTTGCACATTTACCGGTAGTTTTCACCGTGACGATGGGACGTATCTTTTTCTCTGCTTCCTTAGTTTTTAATTATACTAACAGAAGCCGAAGCTGCTTCCTGCATCGAGACCGACCCCTTTAACTTTATGCAGTGACGGGAAGCCAGACACAGACAGCTCGGGACTTGAACAGTCGGAGCATTTATTGCCGTTTCTGCAACCTACACGGTACATTTACTGCTAGAATTGTATGGAAGTAAATTATGTGTCGCTAGGATTTGAATTAAAAATTTCCACAGTTTTTTTTTTTTTTTTCCCACCATTCTCATTTTGTCGCGTGCGTTCCTAATAAGTTATGAACAAATATGGCCGCCTTGTGGTTTTGGTCGCCATGCATGAACCGTGTCGCTCCCCTCTGCTGCTGACACGATAAATAAACTCCGACCGTCACCTCCTCCGTCCTCCGTCCTGTTTTTATGTCCATGTGCTCTGGACGTCACTCACAGCGCGCATGCAACAAAGAGTAAGCTCAAAGTGAGAGCGACACCTGCCCCCTCTTTCCTCTTTTGCGTTGACAAAATGTTTTAGTTTTATCGATAAGTTTGTCAAAGCACAATGTACAGAAGTAATGTTTAATAAATGTTAGGACTCTGTTCTTTGCTAACAAAATAAATTCACCTCAGTTAAGCTGCTGGTTTTATGATGATCTGGACGCTTGTCACCCACAGCAGGTGACAAAGAGTAAACTCAAAGCAAGATGGTTACCTGCTTCCTCTTTCATCTTGACTTTTTTTTTTTTGTTTTATCAAGGAGTGCTCATCGATCCTGACTTCCTCATTTTGATTTTAAAAACTGAATAAAGTCTGCTCGTTTTTAAGCAAAATATGAGGCGGTACAAACGTCTTCCATTTAAAACATCCTCTTTGAGGCCAGATAAAATCTTTACAAAACCGTATTCGGCTCTCGGTTCTAGAGTTTGACACATTCCACAAGACAAATGTGCACAAAGTCCCACGGTGACACGCCAAATAATTGTGGAAAGCTTTCAGGGAGGAGTGGAAGCTGTGGACCAGCGTCATGCGATCCCTGTTAGTGTGACGGTCAGGTGTGGCCAGATGTTGTAGGAACGATTTAACTGCCGCAACCTTTAACGTTGATCTGGTTTCAAGGCTGCATCTACAGTTGGGTTTTTTTAATGGAGAGAGAAAGTCAATATGGATATTGTATTTCTCAGAATGCAATTTTTTTTTTTACTTTATCCAAAGAAAATTTTTAAGAGTTGGAGGAAACTATATATTTTTTGTTTTCCTGGAGTGATCTATGTTATGTAAAACTGTGAGGGCACTGAGCGAATGAATTATTCTAATCGTGGCAGAATTGTTCCTCGAGGAGATCTTAAAACAGTTTTAATCAGGTGCTAATTATGTTTGTGTTGGCGCAGATCAGTTTTTTCTCAGCAGAAGGCCTCCCCTGACACGTTAAACAGGAGGTGCATTTCAGACGTCTCCTTCCAAGCAGATCACCTCTGACATGATGTCGGACGTTTGTAAATGCACTTCTTTTTCTGTCCTGCAGCCAGTATTTCCGCGAGACGATTTTGAACGAGATCCGTAAAGCTCGGGAGCTTTACACCGGCGTGGAGCTGTCGGCCGAACTGAGCCGAATTCAGCAGCGGCTGGACAACGTGGAGTGCCTTTCGGTGGACGTCGTCATCAACCTGCTGCTGACGTACAGAGACATCCAGGTACATCTGCTCAGGGCCCCATGTCCAAAAATCAACATGAGATTCTTTTCTTTAGACGAAACTTCCAATGGTGTCGTCTACATTTTTAAAGTGGGTATACTGTGCTTAGAAACCAAAGTACACGGGTTAGTGCAATGTAATCGTCAATTCATTTAGATTTTTAAGCACATTGAACATTTCCAAATTTCTGTGATGCTTATATTTGAATCAAATGAACAAACTTTGCACAACAGTTGACTTTGTATTAAACACATGTTAGCAAGCATTGATAAAACATGTTCAAGTATTAAATAGTAAGTACAGAAGTATTAATTATACAAAAAAACCAGGTTGAACCAACTCAATGTGTCTATAAAATGTTCCAAATGTGTTCGTTCTCAGGCTCCGTAGGTTTCTTTAGTCTTCTTGTTTCTGTTGCAGAGCGGTGCTTTCTTAACCATGTTGTTACTTCCTGGGCTCAAAACGATGAACAGGAGGCCCATTTATACCGATCATCAAGAGATGACTTACATGTAGCAACAATAGAGAAGACCTTTTATCTTTATCGGATGGATGGATGTTTTTTAAAATGCTGTTCTCACAAACAAACCCATATCAATTCTTATTCGCTGAAGCCACAGCCTGGTTAAATGCTTTTTTTTAAAGATATCCAAACATTTTTGACATTATTACAATTATAGTGATAATTCTGACACTATGAAGCTGAAATATGTGGAAAGAACAAAACAAGAATTGTACTGGATAAGCAAATGTAATAAACAAGAGCTGCATACCAATAGATTGTTACGGACGCGTTTAACTGCCGTTTAACATGTCAATGACACGTGCCCAATTATATTGGGCACTTTTAAGTGGGTATACAAAAAATCTAGGCTTTTCTAGTGGGTATAATCTGTGTGCCCACGTATCCCGTCGACTACACCACTGGAAACATCTATCTGCGAAACTGATTTTTTCCTGTTACCTCTAGAATTACAAATATATATATATAATTTCTGGAAAACTAATGTCTCTACACCTCAAATGTATGTCTTGGATACTTTGGACTGTCATTACGTATTTAAATGCTATGTGAAAGACTCCTTTCGCTACTTTACAATAATGTAAAAGTATTATTTTGTCCAACCTAGGCCTGTCACGATAACAAATTTCACTGGGCGATTAATTGTCTCAGAAATTATTGCGATAAACGATAATATTGTTTGAAATTTGACAATAATTAGTAATTATTTTCCCTTAAAACGATACCGCCACCATCTTGGATTTTGTAAACAAATATATTTACATCTTGATATATGTAAACTAGCCACCACTATCGTTTGAGGAAACTATGCTTTCTAATGTTTATATTGCTTTAAAATATAATTTCCTCCAATGATGGCGGCCAAAGGTTACTCTATGGCCACCATCGGCCACCACTTAGCTCCGTCAGTGCAAGGGGTGGTGGATAAAATTGCTCCTTCCACTCACCAGGACTTTGTGCCACCTCGGACAAGACAAAAAACTACCTCTATTCTTCTACACGGTGTAACTCCTACCCACTTGAATATCGTGCAAACACAACGCAGACGCTGATACGAGCTACGTCAGTCCGACACCTTCATCCCTTCAGCGGATCCTATTTTTCCTCCGTGAGTCACTTCAGACCACCTGCAGCGAGCAGAGACTTGAACCTTCCTACTTAATGTTTGCTTTGTAGTGGCGCTCGTTGTCCAGGTCCTCGTGCTCACCGAGGGCCGTGCACAGCTGTATGAATCATTCATTTCCACAACAAGCATGGCGCATGAGCTGAATTATTCAACAAGCTGTGGGTATGCTGACTATGTAGGCAAGAAGGAGGAAAAACCATAGAGAAGAGCCCACCCACTTGTAATAAAGAGGCTTGAGTCTCAGGATGAAGGTGCTCAAGAAGCTCATAAACGGATCAGATTTAGTCTGTTAGGGAAACATGTGCAGAAACGCCTCCATCCATTAATTGTTACGCTAACGAAGCAGCTGCAGCAGGATGCTCATACTTTGATCTTTCGTTACCATTCAGGACTACGAGTCCATCGTGAAGCTGGTTGAGACTCTGGAGAAGCTCCCGACCTTTGACCCCATGGCTCACCCGCATGTCAAGTTCCACTACGCCTTTGCACTGAACCGGTGAGATGGAACGCACACAAGACACAGCGACGCACGTTCCCACCTGCAGAGACAGAAGTGTTTAATTTGACAGATGACACATTTGAGCACCAGCTGGAAAGGTCTGGTTTGTTCTGTAGGAGACGCTGATTTGTTGTCATGTCACCTTAACAGGCAGTGGGGCCATCATGTAATACCTTTGTTGGTCTGTTAGCAAAATATCCCATGACCCAGTAGACAGATTTTCTTGAAATTTTTAAAAAGTAAACATCGACTCTACATTTACGACTCGTTACCTTTTGAAATCGACATATTCAAGATGGCCACCACAGGTAATCGACTTGCCCAAACTCAAAAATAGCTACAACTCTGTCATTTCAGCAGGTAATGAGCTAACATTTGGTGTGGTAGTAGCTGAGAGTCATCCCTAACACATACTCTTAATGTGTCTGGGGCATGCATATCCTATATATACAAAAAGTGGACGAAATCATCTTAGTATTTCATAAATTTGGAGTAATACACATGATTTTCAGGTGCAAAGTGAAACAGGAAGTGACATCAAGGGGGAGCTCTTAAAAAGTGGAACTCCCTGCTCTGTGTTTATTGAAATAATCTAACGCATCAGATTCTTCTGTGTTGTCAGCCATTGTTTTCATGCAGGTGTTCCCATTTGTCATCACTTCCTGTTACTGCTCATGCAAATACCTCAACAACCGTTCATCTCAGCGACATGAATTTTTTATTTTTTTTCCAATACGCTGTTATGTTTCCAAAAATGCATTCATATTTATATTTACAAAATTTTAATGTCACATGCATTTTTAATATTAACAGATCATGCAAGTTTTTGTTCAAAATGGTTGAGGAGCCTTTTTAAATTAATTCATAAATAACATTCACAAATAAAAAACGTAACATAAATAACATTCATATACGGATGTTATGTAATTTTTACAGTTTTGAATTTGACTAGAATGTCAGAATGATCCTTTGATCCATTTCAGTTGATCAGCAGCAAAATAAAAGCACAAATGATGCACTGTAAGACTGCACACATTAAAACAACAATAAATATGAAAAGGTATAAATCGGTGACAAATAAATACTGAGTGACGAACTGTTCCGTTACTAAACTGTAAATATGGATAAAATTTTTTGAGTAAAATGACAATAACTTCATCATGTGTTCCTTTCAAAGACTTATATTAAAACAATTACCCACATCGGGGCTAACTTATTTACAAAAACCTATTTTCCTTTGTGTTTTTCGTCGTACCATAAATCAAGTTGTTCCATACAGAAATAATCCATTCCTTATTTATTTGGATTTATCTTTTCAGGCAACAATAGAAACTTTTATATAATAAAGTTAGAAAGAAGGAGCCTACCAAAACACATCTTTTTCATATTTATTTTTTAAATAAAAGCACTGGCAGACGTTCTCAGTCTGCTCCTCCAGATGTTCAGCGCAGGAGGGTTTTCGCACCAGCTGTTTTTCTTGTAAACTTCCTGTGGTTTTCTTGCTGCAGCCGCCTCGATCACCAGCTGCGCTTTAATTTGGCGGCAAATGTTGAAAATGTTTTTTCCAAGCGGAGTCGGTTTTTGTGTCCGTTCCTGGGATATGACACTAAAACTGTTCCTGGGAGGGTTTTTTTTTTATATATATATCAAAGTATTTTAGTTTTTTTTTTTTTTTTACACAAACACACACCAGAAAAGAATTTTTTTTTAAAGAACACAGAACAAAATCTCCTCCCGCCCCTCACCCACACCGGATCAGTCACACATGCACAAATATCCTAAACAGGCATTGCCATGTTTTCAACATACGACACAAAAGTCCACCAGGTATCCCAAAATCTTTTAACAGAACCCTTCAGTGTATCATTTTTTTTGCAGATGGATATGGTACATATCCAATGTACAGTATATGTGCTGGGGGGTGTGGGTCCTTCTAATTGCACAGGACCAGTCTTCTGGCCAGAAAAGAGCCAAAAGCAATCGCATCCTTCTCGTACTTGCTGAAGGACGTATCCACCGGGACCACCCCGAACAATGAGATGGTGATGGATGTACAGTTTTTCCACACATCCCAGAGAAGTTGTCAACAATAGATTGCCAGTAGCTCCGCAGTTTTGTGGACAAGTCAAGAACGTATATGTAGGAGTGTAGCTCGAGTTTGTTCACAATGATTACATGTGGGGTCCAGGTTGGCTTTGATCTTGGACAGCTTGTCTTTGGACCAGTGCACCACCTTGAATTGAATTACAGCGCGTCTCAGACAGAATGAAGATGAGTAAATGTTCTTAATGATCTTTTGCCACAATGAGTCTGATATGGATTCCTCCGAGTCAGTTTCCCACTTCAGTTTAAGGGAGTCCAAACTGGACTCATGGTATGAACTGAGCAGGGTATAGATCTTGTTCCTTAGACAGTTTTATCCAAAATAAAAATGTCATCATCAGAAATCTCTCCCTTTTCTTTATGAGCAGAACATCCTGCAGACTTTTTGTTGAAGTTTATCTCAGTAAAATCGGACAAGTAACAAAACCTACTGTTGACAGAGAGTCTGGTCTGATTTAGTTCTAGTTCTAGGAAAAAAAATCTACGTCAGTGGAGGGAAAGTTGTCAGATGTCTTACACAAGTGCAAAGAGTAGAGTGGATGGAGGAAAGGTTCGGGAGTGATTTGTGATAAAAGGTTAAAGGAAAGATTCACAGGACAGTGGTGAGACCAGCTATGTTGTATGGTCTGGAGACAGAGACATGGTCAAAAAGACAGGAGACAGAACTGGAAGTGGCAGAAATGAAGATGTTGAGGTTCTCCTTAGGAGTGACAAGGATGGATAAGATTAGGAATGAGATCATCAGAGGTACAGCACAGGTTGAACAACTGGGAGATAAAGTTAGAGATGCCAGACTGGGATGGTTTGGACATGTCCAGAGGAGGGACAGTGGTTTGGACATGTCCAGATGAGGGACAGTGGGTATATTTGTAGAAGGATGTTAGAAAGGCAGCTGCCAGGAGATATGCTGTATGGATGCAGTAAGAGAGGACATGGAGGGAGTTGGAGGAGGATGACTCGCTGGGGAGACACCTGAAAAGAAGAATGATCAAAGAGACGTAATGTGATTGGGTTTAGTTCTTTAGTTGGCAGAAATGTTGCAGCTGAACCCGGCTGTGGAGTCTTGGTTCCTTTTTAAAACTCTGAAGAAGTTCTGGTGGGTTCAAAAGAGGACAGAGTTTTTCTCAAGGGAAAAATGTTTTACTCAGACTTGCTTTTTTTTTTTTTTTTTTTTTTTACTGCGTCTTTCCATCCATTCTGACCGTCTTCCCAGTGACTGTTACGGGAAAACAAAACGTTCCCACAACATTTAGCCTCGGCCGCCATGTTTGACTGTAGAGTTCAGGAGGTGACCGATTCCTACGTTTACCTGATACAACCAGATCGAAAGGACTCCGTGGTTATTACACGTTTCTGATCTTCGAGACAAATGGAGGCTACAGCTTCTTTTCATTTTTAAAACTGAATGTTTTTTTTCCAGTGAATTAAGTTATTTAACGGTGGAGTTGTCATTTGTAGAAATACACCTGACAGAGAAAGGATGCACCAGAGGTCTGACGTATACCGAATGTGTCCCAACAAAAGGTTTTAAACTTTACAAATAAAAACCATCATTTCGTGAAAGAAGGCATTTTTTTATGCACAAGTTTCAAACAATGATCTCGAGCAGTCTGCTAATATTTAATGTTTGTGTTGGAAACGGCTCTCAGCTGCCATCACACCACATTTTAACTCCAGATCCATAACGCCGCCTGGGTCAGGATCATTTTTGTGTGAGCTGTGTTCGGTTAGCTGTGGCTGCCATCTTGAATTGGGTTGACTCCAAAAGTTAATCAGTTTTAGACGTGCATCCACTGATTAACTTCTGAAAGTTTTGTTTAAATTTGTGTAGTTGTACATAAAATATTTTGCTAACAGACAGATAAGATTGGCTTCAACAGTTAATAAGGATTTCACTTGGTTTGCTTTGTGCTGGAGATGACTGTCGGCTACTATTACACCACGTTTTAGCTGCGCATCTGTAAAACTGTCCCAGTTATGCTCAGTTATAATCGATTAGCTGTAGCTGCCACATTTTGTGCACTCATTTCAACTTTTTCCAGCCTAATTCAGTAAAAAAGTGCTCTTTCAACCGCCTTCTGGTAATTTAAGCTTCTTTCTGCTTTTTAAGCTACTTTTCAGCTGCTTTTTTTGTTTGTTGTTGTTGTTGCTAATTTCAGAATTTCTCAGATAATTTCCACTTTTTTTATTTCTGCTTCTTTCAGCCTAATTGGGCAAACATGTTTTTCTGCTTTCTTCTGCTAATTTAAGCTTGTTCTAACTTTTCACCTACATTTATAGCATGTTGGCTATTTCAGCTGTTTTCAGATAAATTCAAGTTTTTGTGGTAATGTCTGCTGCTTTCATCCTAATTAACCTTTTTCTGCTAATTTCAGCATGTTATGCTCCTTTCAGCTTATTTGCTAGTTTAAACTTTTTTTGCAATTTCAGCTACTATTTACCTATTTTATGCTAATTTTAGCTTTTTCAGCTAATTCCACATTCTTGGAGCTCATTTCAGCTCTTTACACTTCCTACTGGTAGTTTAAGCTCCTTTCTGCCTTTTCAGCTACTTTCAGCTGTTTTTTGTGCTAATTTCAGCTATTTTAGCTAATTTCCTCATTTTGTGTTCTTTTCGGCTTATTTAAACCTAATTCAGCAAATATGTGTTATTTCTGCTTTCTTCTGCTAAGTTAGGCTTATTCATCCAT